GTATGTGTCCTTTAACACCCCCAAACACTGAAAGTTTAGCCTGTGCCATTATTAGAGAAAATACTCAGAGCATACACATTCATACAACGCCATTAAACAGTCGCAGGCTTTCAAAATGACTTTACTGTGGGGAATAAAACATTTAACCAGACACTGGCAATGTAAGTGCGTTATAGTCAAATACAAAGGTGGTTTTGTCTAGGCACAGAATAATTGGTTGAAATGAACAATTTAATATGTTGGTTTACTTCAACAAAGAATCATTATACTACTAAAGAGGTTAATAAAAGTTTTGAAACTTTGTCATTACACCACTGACGCATTACTGAAACTGTCTAATTAAAAACAAAAAATCTTTCTTATCTTTTCATTACTAATAGCCCTAATTCATTTGATTAGGGACTACTTCCCCTTTGTTTCTAAACTTTCACTTCTGTCATTGAAATTCATCACCAATATCCATTTTTTCTTCATAGTTCGATTCAAAATATTTTTTTAGTCATGACTGGGTTATTTAATCAGCCATGAGGATGTTTTTCCATCGTCCTTGCTCTTAAAAGTTTTTGAAAATCTTTTTGCCCCATATATTTTTACTTGCCCATTGTCAGCTGAGAAAGGCTCCCCCCACAACCCTGTTGGGAAGATGGATAGATGGATTTTCACTGAAAAGTACTGAAATGAACTTTTTTTTCCACTGTTTCCATGATTTAAATGATTAATCTGAAGATTTCTGTGTGAAATAATCATTAACACAGATGATAGAAGCTGAGGCCCCTGGCATTCACACAATTAGCTCCAACCTCCTCATTGTGTATGTGCTCGTTTGTGGTAGATGTGTGTCGCTGCGGGTATGTTACGAACACATGTGCTCCACATGTGCCGGCTGTCCCTCTCACAGTAAAACAGTCCGTTTAGCAAACAAGATATTGGCTGTTTTTATTGGTCTCATCAAAAGAAATTCAGTTTGACACCAATGATAAGAATGGAAAATAATTCCCCGGGGGAAGGAATTCCCAGAAACCCGGCTGGACTCTTTTTTCACAGCTGTGCACAAGTAATCATAGTAAAACTTTAGCAAGATATATGGATATGCAAGATATATTAATCTAAACATGGAAGGGTGAAGTCTTAACATTCTCGCTTGGTGTCATTAAACAGTGTGACTTATGGTTTACAGATGTCAACCGAACTGATCGAAAATTGGCGGCCTTTAGAGGGAATCCAGCATAACCGCTATTTATGTGCCTCTCTTTCATCTCTTTGGTATACCCTTTCTTCATTTTCTTCTTTTGACTTCTTTTAGTCTTCTCCATCCATTTTATTTTTCCTGTTTGCACAGCTAAGTGTTTATACCTCAGAGTCAATAACATGCGCTGAGGCTCAAAAAGCGACAAGCCAAAAGTTTGCTCTCCGACAGCTATTATAAACGTAACAACACAAAGTGCATTCCTTGGCGAAAGAAAACCCAAATCCAAACTAAAATGTTTAGCAAAAAAAAACAAATAAAGTGCGACTATTTCCTTAGCATCAGTCCATCTCTCTGGGGGGTCGTTGTTCAGTTTGTGGTGAAAGGATAAACAAATAAATGTTTTACTGGAGGCAGCAAACATTAAATGAATCCCTCTGTTACTAGTGATAGTGATCTTTAGAAGTCAGTAAACTAACTCACCTGCTCTTTTAAGTGACACTGTGGTTAAAAACAACCAACTTAACGCCATGTAATTCAATTTACACACCACATTTGCAGATGTTTGCATCTGTTGAAAAAGGTCAGTCCAAAAATGAATAGACATGACGTATTTGTTTAATCATTCTGAAATCTTTCAGGAGTTTTGGGCTCCCGTCAACCAGTCAAGATGTAGAGCATATGCATTATTGTTCTGACTAATTATCCTGCCAAAAACATAAGCTTTCGATTAGTGTCTGCCATTGAGAATTTAACCAGATGTAAAACAGGGTCTAACATTCTGTCTCTAGGTTGTAACGAAAAATCATGGACAGATTATCAAAATTTATACATGATATTTTTAAAAATGACTGGCACCAGCCCTCTGGTCTAAATCTAAATCTATGAAAAATGAAGGGAAAACAGATAGAAGATATCTTCCTTACAGACTGGTAGACTTGAATTTTTGGTAGTCAACAAGAAAGATGGGTCATTAGTTGTTATTAGCTAGTTATTTCTAAGCAGTTGTGATCTATTCTATAGCGCTAACTAAACTCCTGATTAAAAATTTCCACGCAAATTCCAGTTTCATCACAATGCTGGACAAAGCAAGTTCACATGGGATTCCTGTTCTTCCAGTCGGAGACATTACTACTCAATGAAAAGGGAAAAGACATTTATCTAAAAAGATAGCTGCTTATTACTGTCTTCAGATCTGCCAACTGCGTATGCGGTGGTTTCTACACATCCACTTCTCAGGCAACAGTTATAACATAACAAAAACAGGCAAATAAAAAGAGAAAGGAAAACACAGGCAGTGAATAGTGTTAATGTTGGCAGATAAAATCAGGATCATAAACGTTCAGTCACCCATGGCTGAGGGAGTTTTTTTTTGCTGTGCTCAGTGTGCCGTTTCCACTGCTCATGGTTCAAAGAAACTGATAACAATGGACTTTTATGTGCCAATAAGATACTAATCAAATTAATCTAATATCCAGAGTTCTAGGTTAAAAGTTAATCATCAGAGAAGGTATTTACTGAGCAGCCATAAGTGTTCTCTGATGCTGTTTTTCTTCCTGTTCACTTGACGTCTTATAGTACAGCCTTGTATACAGATATAAAGAAAACCTTAATAGTTTGATGAATGTTGTTCTGTGAGGAATACATTGGTAACCATGGCATTTGCAATCATGCATTTGCAGTTAATAAATCCCAGTTCTGCTCCAGCTCGTGACTTGATGGAGAGGTAAACTGGTGCCAGAGTAAATTGCCCTTTCTTACATCTGCCAGTCCTAAATATAGCCAGGACAAATTGTGCTTTATGCCAGTTTAAAATGCTATTTCTTTCTTTACAGCTTCTTTTTCTTGTCTCCGTCAAGCATCTGCCGTCCATCTCTTCTCCACATCAACTCTTTATTTGGAAAGAGAATAACAACCTGTCCACTTTCAAAATACACAGACATATAGACGCAGCATGCATTGTTAATCTTTCCTCATACCTCCTAGCAGTTGTCATTCCTTTTGCTATGTGACCCAGTGACAAACACAATCAAAGTACGCTGGCAAAAACTAAAAGAGGAAAGAGGGATTCTTAGAAAAAGGACAAGAGATGAGATTGTTTTTTTTCCACTGTGTAAACCCAAAGAAGCCCAGATGTCGTCTTTGGCACTTAGTGAGTACAAAACATGTGCACTAAAATGTCAGTGATTGCTTGTAAGGTACAAAAAGGAACTCTAAAACCATTATTTCATTTTTGTTAAATAGCAATGCAATTTTCTATCGATCTCTTGGTCCTTTTTAATTGAAATTATTTTATTTTATCTCAAAGGCTGGAGCTGGCTCTTCCCAAAGAGGTCGCCTGGTCACACAGCCTTGATAATATAAACATTTTCTTCCATGTGCTTCTTACAGCCCATAAAACACAGTGTCTCAACATACATTATCCATTTAGAAGCAACTTGAATAGATGCCTATGCGTGAGATTTGTAGAGATTTACTGTAGATTTGTATCCCACCGGTCACGCGGGAGACTCTCACTGTGGTTGCACTGAATAACCTTTAAGATAGCACTTTCAGGCAAGAGGTAAGGCTCTGCCTGGTCCTTTATTTCCCCTCAAGTAAAACTTCCTTTAACCAGGTCATAGTTCTGTGTTTTGCTTCATTTCTTGATTCCATGTCACTGTCTCAACCAATTTGCAAGGTAGACCCTCTATCAACTGCTAGAGACAGTTTAAATTTCAAAGGATCCTCTATACTGGCGTCAGCAAAACATTTCCAACTGCCTCAGTGTAATAATTAGCCTTCCATCTGAATACGAGACTAGACTTTGACAAATGACTGATCCATCGATGTTCCTCAGCCAAGTGATGCCTGTTTTTCTCATCATAACAGGAGAACTCGATCTCGATGTCTCTCAGCCAAAGCAAAGCACACGGACAAAACGTTGCATCCTGACTTTAAGTTAGATAGAACAATGTGATATTTCATTTCTGTTTTTTCAACTACTAATTAAAAAGTAAACATTTTCATTCCGTCATCACTTGGAGACAAATAAGAGGACATGCCAAGTGATGTTCTAATGAAGGGAGGATGACAAAAAGAGGAAAAGCCAACAAGGGAGGACAAAATGTAAAATGTAGAAACAGTGATAAAGAGAAACAACAGAACAGGGAACGTAACGCAGGTCAGTTCATTCGCTGAACTTCACTCATATTTGGACTGTTCATTGTAATTCAGCTATCTCTTGCTTGATCTGTGGTCCAACAATATGAGTGTTAGAGCCTTGAACATCTCACAATGTTTAAATAAAAACACTCACATCTGCAACGGCTGCCAAAGAACCAGACAATTCAAACCACATGACAACCAACATGAAGCCACACATACATACGCAATAACAGAAATGCTTGAGATAGAGCAGAAACACTGGAGAAGATTCCATAAAATATTGAGAAGTAGGCCTTGGGGAAGAGGTTGTGGTTCATATGTCTGATGCTCTTGTTACCATTTTAGTTATTTCTCTCTCCATCAGGGAATGAGGGATCAGGCAAAAGCTATTAGTGCTGATGTGTGTTAGAGCTAAGATGAACTCAAACACAAGAATGAACATCTGCCTGGCTTCCTGGTGTGTGAAACATTTAAATGTGAAGATGGGAGTGAAAGGGTTCTGTATCGTCATGATGCAAGGACAAGGCGTTGATATTCACACATTAAATGAAGTGGCTTGACATGGTTTTAGTTTAACAACAGACACAGAGAGTGAGGTCACTGCTTACTTCTGCAAAGTGAGGCTAAGGTTGCCACTGCAACTCTTGATTTTGTTCTGGGCCTCCAGGTGGTTCATGCCCTCCGTGGAGATGCCGTCGATGGAAAGAACCAGGTCTCCGACAGAAATACCACCTTTAGCTGCTTTGCCACCATCCGTCAGCTGCACAAACACAAAATCCACAAACAGCTATAATAGTCCACATCAACAGCAACATTTCTGTGAGGATAGCGGGCAGCAGAGAAGGCCATGGCCCTGCTGGAACATAAAATCTTGTGTATAAATCTGTTTTTGGAAAGCTAACAACAGATCTGCCTCTGTAATACCACGAGGGGGTTAAAACACATCTACTGATGCATGTACACAAGGATTCATGAGCGAGGTACCATTCTAAACCACTACATTAATGAAAAATATATTTGTCTAATTTCTCAGTTCCCAGTTTACTATTAAAGATGGTAAATATAAAATATAATACATTTTTACTTTTATGAAAGTGCCCTGAAATTCATTTGAATAAAATGAGGAAAACGAGTATTAAACAGGAAGTTATTTGTTTAAGCTATAAAAACACTCTTATGAAACTCTTTACCCTGAGTTACCATAAAGATGGAGTGAGGTGAATTAAGCCACAGGAACATGCAATTATACAATTAATCTGAGTACAAAAACGTTGTTAAAAAGGTGACAAACAGATAATGGGATGCTGCATGGTGAGAGGCATTTCAGCACTATGGGATTTGAAGAAATGGTAGCTGAAGGCTCTCCAACTTACACGCTTCATAAAATATGAGTACACTTCTCTCATGTCTTGTTTTTGGTATCTTTTGTGATTTTTTGAGGTACACAAACATTTCTAAACAAAGTTTAAATGCTGCACTTGCACTCTAGAGGAAATCAGTTAATTAGAAACAGATTGAGGAAAAAACAAAAGTACTGCACTCTGAAAGAAAGAAAGAAAGAAAGAAAGAAAGAAAGAAAGAAAGAAAGAA